TAGCCGCCCTTTGCCTTGATAACAGCTTTGCACACTCTTGGCAGTCTGTCAACCAGCTTCACCTGGAATACTTTTCCAACAGTCTTGAAGGAGTTCCCACATATGCTGAGCACTTGTTGGCTGTTTTTCCTTCACTCTGCGGTCTGACTCATCCCAAACCATCTCAACTGGGTTGAGGTTGGGGGATTGTGAAGGCCAGGTCATCTGATGCAGCACTCCATCACTCTCCTTCTTAGTAAAATAGCCCTTACACAGCTTGGAGGTGTGTTGGGTCATTGTCCTATTGGAAACAAATGATAGTCCCACTAAGCCCAAACCAGATGGGATGGCGTATCACTGCAGAATGCTGTGGTAGCCATGGTGGTTAAGTGTGCCTTGAATTCTAAATGAATCACAGACAGTCTAATGTCCATTGCTCGTGTTTCTTGGCCCAAGCAGGTCTCTTCTTCTTTTTGGTGCCCTTTAGTAGTGGTTTCTTTGCAGCAATTCGACCATGATGGCCTGATTCACACAGTCTCCTCTGAACAGTTGATGTTGAGATGTGTCTGTTACTTGAACTCTGTGAAGCATTTATTTGGGCTGCAATTTCTGAGGCTGGTAACTCTAATGAACTTATCCCCTGCAGCAGAGGTAACTCTGGGTCTTCCATTCCTGTGGCGGTCCTCATGAGAGCCAGTTTCATCATAGCGCTTGATGGTTTTTGCGACTGCACTTGAAGAAACTTTCAATGTTCTTGAAATGTTCCATATTGACTGACATTCATGTCTTAAAGTAATGATGGACTGTCGTTTCTCTTTGCTTATTTGAGCTGTTCTTGCCATAATATGGACTTGGACTTTTACCAAATAGGGCTATCACAACACAACTGATTGGCTCAAACGCATTAAGAAGGAAAGAAATTCCACAAATTAACTTTTAACAAGGCACACCTGTTAATTGAAATGTATTCCAGGTGACTACCTCATTAAGCTGGTTGAGAGAATGCCAAGAGTGTGCAAAGCTGTTATCTAGGCAAAGGCTGGCTACTTTGAAGAATCTCATTTTATTTTGATTTGTTTAACACTTTTTTGGTTACTACATGATTCCATATGTATTATTTATATATTATAGTTTTGATGTCTTCACTATTGTTCTACAATGTAGAAAATACTAAAAATAAAGAAAAACCCTTGAATGAGTAGCTGTGTCCAAACTTTTGACTGGTACTGTACATAACCTACTCCACATTTCCAAAGTGAAATATTTTTTTTAGAAAATGTTCCTAATTAATACAAAATAATAAAACGAAGATTGATTGTGTATGTCTTCACATCACAGAGTTAATACTTGGTGGAAGCACCTTTTGCAGCCATTACAGCTGTGAAACATTTTGAATAAGATTCTACCAACTTTGTACAACTCTTCGGGCAACATGTATCCATTGTTTTGGTCAACATTGCTCGAGCTCAGTAAATTTGTTTGGGAGTCATTGATGGACAGCAATATTCAAACCTTGTCTCTGATTTTTAAGCACATTTTAAAGCTGCAATATGTAACCTTTTGGAAATGTGAGTTATAGATCTGTCATTCTCATTGAAAGCAAGTCTAAAAAGCGATAGATCTGTTCATGTGCTCTATTTCTATGCTTCCTGTTCTTAAGTTTAGTTTTTGCGTCTTTTTTCAGTTTCAAACTGTTGAAACTACAATATTTTTGGTTATGGACAAAATTATTTCACAGCGGTTTAGATGGTACAATGATTATGTACACTATACTTGCTTGTTTTGTCACATAAACTGAAATTAGGCAAACTATTAGAATTTTTGCAACCAGGAAATGGTGACAGCATCATGTTATGGGTATGCTAGTCACCGGAAGGGACTGGGGAGTTTGTTAGGATCAAAATAAATATGAAAGGAGCAAAGCTAAGGTAAAAGTTGGAGTACAACCTGCCTCAGTCTTCTTAAAATCTAACCCTGTGATAGAGTTTTATTTTTCAGCGGGACAATTACAAAAAAATGTATGCCAAAGACACACCAGAATGGCTTGCCAAAAAGTGTTGAGTGTTCCTGAGTGGTCCAGCCTCACTCCTGACTTAAATTTGGTTTAAATTCAGAGACAAGGTTTGAATATTGCTGTCCATCAATGTCCATCAATGTCTCCCAACCAAATTTACTAAGACCTAAGAGTTGTACAAAGTTGGTAGAATCTTATTCAAAATGTTTCATAGCTGTAATGGCTGCAAAAGGTGTATTAACTCTGGGATGTGAAGACATATTAAACACCCAGCCGCGAGATGCCCAGTGACGCGAGCCTACCAGATGGGCTAAATGCCTTTTATGCACGCTTTGAGGCAAGCAGCACTGAAGCATGCATGACAGCACCAGCTGTTCCGGACGGTTGTGTGATCACGCTCTCCGTAGCTGATGGGAGCAAGACCTTTAAACAGATCAACATTCACAAGGCCACGGGGTAAGACGGATTACCAGGACGTGTACTCAGAGCATGCGCAGACCAACTGGTAAGTGTCTTCACTGACATTTTCAACCTCTCCCTGATCGAGTCTGTAATACCTACATGTTTCAAGCAGACCACCATAGTCCATATGCCCAAGAAAGCGAAGGTAACCTGCCTAAATAACTACCGCCCCGTAGCCATGAAGTGCTTTGAAAGGCTGGTCATGGCTCACATCAACACCATGATCCTGGAAACCTTAGACCCACTCCAAGTTGCATACCGCCCCAACAGATCCACAGATGACGCAATCTCAATCGCACTCCACACTGCCCTTTCCCACCTGGACAAAAGGAACACCTATGTGAGAATGCTGTTCATTGACTACAGCTCAGCATTCAACACCATAGTGCCCATAAAGCTCATCACTAAGCTAAGGACCCTGGGACTAAACACCTCCCTCTGCAACTGGTTCCTGGACTTCCTGACGGGCCGCCTCCAGGTGGTAAGGGTAGGCAACAACACATCTGCCACGCTGATCCTTAACACGGGGGCCCCTCAGGGGTGCGTGCTTAGTCCCCTCCTCTACTCCCTGTTCACCCACGACTGCGTGGCCAAGCACGACTCCAAGACCATCATTAAGTTTGCTGACGACACAACACGACCCCATTCACATCGACGGGGCTGTAGTGGAGCGGGTTGAGAGTTTCAAGTTCCTTGGTGTCCACATCACCAACAAACTATCATGGTCCAAACACACCAAGAAAGTTGTGAAGAGGGCACGACAACGCCTTTTCCCCCCCTGAAAAGATTTTGCATGGGACCCCAGATCCTCAAAAAGTTATACAGCTGCACCATCGAAAGCATGCTGAACAGTTGCATCACCGCCTGGTATGGCAACTGCTCGGCATCCGACTGTAAGGCGCTATATAGGGTAGTGCATACAGCCCAGTACATCACTGGGGCCAAGCTTCCTGCCATCCAGGACCTATATACTAGGTAGGCGGTGTCAGAGGAAGACCCAAAAAATTGTCAAAGACTCCAGTCACCCAAGTCATAGACTGTTCTCTCTGCTACCGCACGGCAAGCGGTACCGGAGCGCCAAGTCTAGGTCCAAAAGGCTCCTTAACAGCTTCTACCTCCAAGCCATAAGACTGCTGAATCAAATGGCCACCCGGACTATTACTCTGCTGCTACTCGTGTTTATTATCTATGCATAGTCACTTTACCCCTACCTACATGTACAAATTACCTTGACTAACCTGTACCCCCACACAATGACTCGGTACCGGTACCACCTGTATATAGCCTCATAATTGTTATTTTATTGTGACTTTTTTTTAAAATATATATATTTTTTGCTGTAGTTTATTAAGTAAATGTTATCTTAACTCTATTTTATTAAAACTGCATTGTTGGTTAAGGGCTTGTAAGTAAGCATTTCACGGTAAGGTCTGCACCTGTTGTATTCGGCGCATGTGACAAATAACATTTGATTTGATTTGATAAGCAATCAAGACATTTTATTTTTTGGAAAATGTTCTATATTTTTTCTTTAACTTAGAAAATGTGGAGCAAATTGTGTAGATCGTCAGGGGAAAAAATCTAATTTATTCCCTTTTGAGATTTAATTTTAAGGCAGCAAAATGTGAAGACTGTGCAAGGGGTGTGTAGACTTTCACTAGGGACTGTATTTTCCCCTATAAGTATTTTCCCCTATAAGTGTATGTTCTGCCAGTGTCTGTCTGTGCTAAGTTGGGTCTTCAATTCGAATGGTAGTTCATATCTGTTGATAATATTGACGCCAGGCTACTGAAGGTAAGCGCCACGAAGGACACAGGAAGTGTTGCCGTTTTATCACAGAGTTTCTAAACTCAGAGGCGCAAAATTGCGAGACTTCCGGGAACGATTGCGAAACAGACCAAACAGACCAAGCCGGGGTTTGGGGTTTGAGAAGTCAATGAGAGAAGTGAACAATTCTTCCTTCGTTGTACATTTTCTCATAATCTAAAGGCACAACCTAGATTCGAGACAATGTTTTACATAGTTCAACATATTATTACTCCAACATCGTGAAAGTGACAAACTGACACGTTTTCATTTTCGTCGAAAACAACTTTATATCGAAGGAGTGCCTATGATTTGAAGACTTGCACGTGCGCAGTTGACGTGTTTCTGCACATGAGTTTAGCTAGCCAAGACAAGCAGTTTCTGCTTATCTTCATACTGTACTGTCTTTGGCTTTATCGTGTGATAAACTAATTTCCTGGTGTTTATAGAACATTGGTGCTGTGAGATTAGAATGAGTGAGAAGAAACGTGTAGCTGAAATACTGCCTAGAAATGTATCCAATGACAATGATGATGTTTATGAGATGTTTAATAAATAATAATTTTTGCCACTGCACAACCTCGCTTCAGGGTCACTGGCTCTGTCCGGGGCTGTGTTAGACAGGTTAACTATAAAGTCTGTAGCGAACGACAGAGTAGCGGAAGGATTTAGTGTGAATCTTCAGGGTAATTTTGCACGGTGTAGTAGGCTACACCTACTACAGAACAGGTGTTACCACATAGCTCCATCTGTATCACGGAAGTGAGGATTGACGAGGCAACGCAACAGAAAGCTGTATTTGGATTAATAACATGGAAATTATCACATTAATTAAATTGTAACCACGAATTGAACATTGAATAACATTCGATTCAGTCCTAAAAAAAATTCGGGAAGACAGAATTCAAGGATTGTATGAAATGCACACTTGAAAATGAACGTTTTTGAAAGTTTTAACCTTTGTGGATATGCTATCACCGTTGTAATTGTTTTGTCGCTGGTAAGAAAAATAAATAATTGAATATCTAATACAAGGAGAATGAGTATAGCTATGTAAACATGAAGAATGCAAACGATATTTCCGAGTAGTCTATTTGAATAAATTGCAAACTTGTGTAAATATTTGTGTGTAGTTTATAGGCTAGTGCAATTATTCTTATCAGCGCTCTATGCTTTCCGAGTACCACCACACACCACTTTATTGTTCTCACAACTAATATCCACAAATGTCACATTTAGCGCCTGGTCATTAGCTGACCTCGTTTCAAATTTTAGTTTTCAACATATGATGTTTAATATGTACATACCAGACAAGCCCCACTATGCTTTAAATACTTTTCAGCAATTTAAATCTGTATGAATATGCATTTGACCAGTGTTTTAAATTACAACAAAATAGATGATATTCCAGCCATAACACACTGGTAGTCACCAGTGCTACCTGGAGGCATCTCAGAATTAATCTTACAAACAAGTTAGAGTGAGGAAAATGCCCCCAGGCTTTACTCACTATTTCAGTTTTCTTGGTTTTATAAAGGGATAATACACTAGAGACATTACCAATTTATTATAGTTTATTATAATAAACCATTAAAGGAGAGGTCTTCTGAACACCTCAAGCAAGTACGCTATGCGATGGACATAACGTTACTAATGAATCCAGCTAATTTCCACCTATATTTTCTCCATCTCGACCAGGCACTATGTGAGTCTTCATCCCAAACCATGCCTACCTCCTCATCCCCAGCTGGAGAGAGCTCAGTGCTGCATGATGATTCCATACAGTTTGACTTGGTCCCAGACATAGTGATGGATGGCTCAGTGGTCCGAGTTAGTTACCAGTGCTCCAGGGCCTGTGAGGTGGGAGTGGAGGTGGTGGTCTCCACACAGACCAAGACAGGAGCGGCGGTCTTCAGGAGGAGATGGACCAACCACAGACGCCTCCATGTCCCCAGGACACATCCGGTGAAGCTCAGGTTCCCTCCAGACATGGCCTACAGAGAGGACCTCTTCATGATGCGCACATTGGACGTCCATAATGTGATGGTTCGAGCCTGGTTGGACCACCTTGAGCAAGGCAATGGAGACAAAGGGCATGTGAATAGGACCAGCACATACAATGGGTCCCTGGTGAGGACGTTCAAAGTGCTTCAGGCAGTACTTCCCTCTGAGCGTCCAGCTAGACCTTACCCTGGGTGCCCCTCCTGGATGGCTGATCTTAGGTGGCAGCTGACCAGAGACAGAATCCGCCAGTGCCCACATGAGTCAGGTCTGGTCTCAATCAACTAATCATGTTTTTGTACAATAGGTGTGTGTTACAATTAGACTCACATTGCTGTCACGTAGACTTTATGATAAACAGTTTGGTGCCAGTGAATTGAGACATAGAAAGAAAAACACTGACATATTATTTATTTTGTTAAAGAAGGTATTCTCAGTCCTTGTTATAGTTGTAGTGTATACTAATATTTTCTTGAATTGATTTGTAGACACTGTGGATATGTTGACATTTCCAATTGTTAGCACTGGAGAGAGTTTTGGAGTGATCCGCAAGATCCACCCTTTCATCAACAGAGATCTTGAGAGAGCTCGTGTCCTCACTGTGGAGCAGCCCAGGTTTGGATGTAACTTCTCTCTAAATAGTATCATTTATTTGCATTCATTACAAATTTCCCTACATTATCATGACAGCTGATCCTCTCTCAGCAAGTGCACTGACAATGTCACCTGGAATGACTCACATAAACATGAATAGTTATAACCAGTATAATGCCAAATTATTATACAATATATTGTGACCTCTCTTACAAAGTGAGTTCATTTAAAGTTCAACTAAAAGGGTCCATGATTTAGCATTTTGAAAATGATAGTTTCAGTCATCTGATGTTTCTGACTCCATGCACCCACCCCCTTAGGTCAGTTACAGAAAGATCTGTGTCTTTTCAATGCTGACAGCTCATTTCACTTCCATTTTTACTTCACTTAGCATATACATTTCCGTATGCTACAGTTCTTTATTGTCGACATGCTTTAAACAATGCTTTGAAAGATCAGTTAAAAACCTATGTAGAAGATGATACCAGTGGGTGTTCTTTATGGATGCTTAAGGATGGATGCATAATCTAAAATCAAATCAAGATGTAATCACAGATTACAACTACACATTCATTAAACCTCCTCCCTGAGGCAGATATGGAACAGTGATACAGAAAATGGAATGTGAAAGATCTCATTAATCTCCCATTCCCCAGTATCACAGTGTCTATATGGGTCTATCTGGTGCAGTGGTGTGACATGAAACTGTGTGGAATCATCCATCATGTTGATCAGAACAGCAAATACGACACTCCTCTGATACAGCTCACTAACACAGGTGAGGCATAGCATGGCAGCTTGTTGTGGATTCACCTGATAGGATGTCAGTGTGTATTTGTCAGAGTTCTGTTTCGGTCTCACTTGATACTTATGATGTAATGTTGGGCTGTGAATGTGATCAAGCTGCTGTGTCCTTGAGCGGTAGGTAGTGTTATGATTGGATATCAGCATGCATTATGGTAGATGTCTGTCTTATGATTTAATAAAGTACTGTCTACTGTTTAGGAGATATCATCATTCAGGTTCGTGTGGTGTCTGGGGGAGATCAGGCGTTCAGAGCCCACACAGCTCTGCCTCTCTGGACCTGGATCAGACTAGACTGCTTCATACAAGGCTCTAAGGTACCATACAATTGAATTGAATAAACTATTATTCCAATGATGGGAAATTGGATTTGTCACCAGCAAGATATACTGAACAAAAATATAAACGTAACTTGCATCAATTTCAAAGAGTTTACTAAGTTTACATTTCATATAAAGAAATCAGTCAATTGAAATAAATTCATTAGGCCTTAATCTATGGATTTCACATGACTGGGCATTGGCGCTAGGGAGCCAGGCCCAGCCAATCAGAATTAGTTTTTCCCCACAAACGTCCTTTATTACAGACCGAAATACTCCTTAGCACCCACACCCCCTCAGACGATCCCACAGGTGAAGAAGCCGGATGTGGATGTCCTGGGCTGGCGTGGTTACACGTGGTTTGCGGGCGGTTGGATGTACTGTCAAATTCTCTAAAACAACATTGGAGGCAGCTTATAGTAGAGAAATTAACATTAAATTATCTGGCAACAGCTCTGGTGGACATTCCTGCAGTCAGCATGCCAATTGCACGCTCCCTCAAAACTTGTGACATAAGTGGCCTTTTATTGTCCCCAGTACAAGGTGCAACTGTGTAATGATCATGCTGTTTAATCAGCTTCTTGATATGCCACACTTGTCAGGTGGATGGATAATCTTGGCAAAGGAGAAATTCTTACTAACAGGGATGTAAACAAATTTGTGCACAACATTTGAGAGAAATAAGCATTTTATGTGTATAGAAAATGTCTGGGATTTTTTATTTCAGCTCATGAAACATGGGACCAACACTTTACATGTTGCATTTATATTTTTGTTCAGTGTACATACAACAACAACATATGCATACAGTACATTAGAGACACAATTGGTAGCTTAGGGAGCTACAGTTAGGAATACCATCTTTTCACATCATGATATTTTTTACATACTTTATATATTGGAGTTCGGAGTTTTGGGGCTATGATTATGAATTTATGTCTTGTGTGTCTTTCAGGTGACACTGCAAGTTAAACCTGAAGTGACATCGGGAGGAATGGTGGAGCACACACACACATTTGAGTAAGCCATCAAAGCTTTTTGGATAATACTAACTTTTGTTAGCCATAAATATGTTGATATGGGAACACAGAAAAGGGATTGGAGTGAACTTTGGTGTTTTTAAGACTAGCACACTTCAAACTGCACCAAAAGCCTTGATGAGGGCTTTGCATAATTTGCTGTCAATATTTATTTTGAATGTTGAGTGTTGAATATTTTGCAGCTTTCAGAGTGACATCCATTACAATGACACTGGTGGATACTTTGTGATTGGAGGGGGCAGGTTCATGCCAGGTTTCCATGGCTATTTTGGACCAATCAAATACTATCGTTTGGGCACAGAAAAGGTATGTGTCCAGATGCCTTTAAACTTTTTTTTAAACAATTGTTCAATATGAGAAACAAAAATGTACAGAAATGTACTATATAGGCCTTTCTGTACTACTGTATTAAGAGGTATATGTTCATGTTGTTACAGTATTATGACAGGTAAATATATTACAGGTGATCAACTCCCTTTCCCCTGCCAAGACATTAGAGGGCCTGGATAAGACACACAGAGAGTGTGATGAGATCAGAGAAGTCACTGCAGCCTTTCTTCAGGCTGTGACACACAACCAGGAAGTCTTTATGACAGGTGAGCTCTATTCTGTTCAGTCATCTGTGTGAGTGGTGTGCCAACACTTCCAAATGGATCTGTGTCTTGAAGGCAAACCCTTGCACTGTGAATATGGAGACTGGGGGAGTTTTATGTCACATTATTATGGGGAAACCAGATCTGACTGAGTTAGATTTTTCAGGTTTGTGTCACTCTCACTACATCAGTTTATGGAGAAGGTTTGGACAGAATACATGTAGACAGACATGGACCTGGGAAGCACAGAAGAAGCATCGTGCACTTTTCACCTTCTTAGAGACCCAGCAAGAGGACTTCACCACAGGTATATTATCTATAGGCTACGCATCTCATACAGGTGCCTTATGTACTCAAACCTACATCACCTGCAGGTAGTGTTTGACTGCACCTCACATATTCTTGGTTACATTTACAGTATCTACTTCATTGATACATGTAGGAACTAAGAACAGGAGAACACCCCTTCACCTTGGAAGCAGATTGTTTGAGCATGTAGTGAATAGACTGTCCAATAGAGGGAGCACCCAGATGGACCCCACCACCACCTTCTCCCTGATAGCCCTGCTGCAGATGTCCTCCTGCTATGGCTACCACCACGCCTCCCTGTTGCTCTCCACCATCCACCTGGCTGGCCTGGGTGGCCCTGTGGACCAACAGCAGGTAGCGACCAGTCACCTGACCTCATCGCTGGTAATGCCACGTCTGTCATGAGCTGTATGTGATCGGACCCATGATGAGTGACCTTGTTATGACCTCTGTGTATTCCAGGGTCATATCTACAGTCTGATTGGTGCACTGGGAGACAACCGTTTAGCCCTCATGCATTTGGGCTACAAACACACACAAGGAATTGACGGGTTCCCCAAAGACTTTGACATGGCGTACAGTTACTACTCCAATGTTGGGGCACAGACCAGTATTGACCAAGGGAGGGTACTGGAGAATCAGGTGAATTTATAAAAAAAACTACTTGAGGGACTTTAGTTGTACTGTTACATTAGTATAACTGTTAACCATACATTTCCTCTCACCCCAAGCAATCTATAACTGAGCACATTCTTATAAGCAACGAGGACCACCTGAACAGCCTAACTCATGAGACAGGTGACGCCTTTCAGTTTATCAAACTTAAAGCTGACAGAGGAGACGTTGAATCACAGGTACAGTATATATCAAAATACTTAGAAATCATTGAGCTTTTAGTCTAGACTAAAGTACTTAGAAGTGTCTTCTATGTCAAGTTAGGAATGATCCAAGGGAATGAATCTGAAAATGACACAACTCTTCATTTATGCAGAAACTTCTAGCAAAGCTTCTATTCTGGGGTCAAAATGGTGTCTCTAAGAACGTTGGGAGTGCAGTTAAGTGGTACGCTAAGAGTGCCATGGAGCTGGAGGATCCTGCAGCTATGTATGAGTACTCTATTTTATTATTTAAGGTAAGCATGATGTCTTGTGTAAGTAGGGGATAAAATACTTAAATATTGCCAGATATGTGTTGTGTGTGTGTGTGTAGACTGATTAGAGGACTGATAATGGTCTCTCCAGGGACAGGGGGTGAAGAGGAACATGACTCTGGGTCTTCAGATAATGGAGAAAGCTGCAGCCAAGGTATGTGTGCTGTAATACTCTACCTTGTGGTGTGTGTTTATGTGTGCCTTTACATGTGCTTGCCTTTAATGTGTCTTGTGTGCATCTCTGACCCCCAGGGTTCAGTCCAAGCCTTGAATGGGCTGGGATGGTATTACAGCACCATACTGAAAGACTACAAGACTGCCTTCAAGTACTTTGAACAGGCTGCCCACAACGGCAGTCATGATGGCATGTTTAACCTGGGAGTGTATCACTTAAATGGGAAGAACCCACACAACCCAGAAAAGAATGAGGTAGGATCAACCCCACCCATCCTTTTTAAAATCAACTTGAGTTTATGAAGGGTCTAATATTCATTGTGTTTCCTGTACTCCCAGACTGCTGCGTTCCATCTCTTCCTAAACTCCTCCCTCTATGGTCACGTGGACGGGGCGGTGGAGGCGGCCTGGTACCTGTCCATAGGAAACCTGGAGGGGGTCTCCCGGGACACAGAGAGGGCTGTGATGTAAGTCTGTTATCCGCTCAGCTCAGGGAGTGAAGAAAGTTCCTGTATGGTCCACTGCACCGGAGGGTAGCCTGCAGAAAAGTGTAATCTGACTCAATGATGGACTAATTCAAGGACAGGACATGGTTATTTGCATGTCTAAAAATAAGTACCACTGTCACAGCATGGCATAGAGCGAGAGACCCTGCGTAGTGCTGAGGTACTCATGTCTTATGAATCCCCAGAAGAAACGGTTAGTGTCACAAAAATATCTTAGATCTGCGCTGATGCATCAGAGTAAGAGTAAACCTTTAGTCACTGAGCTTATTGTAGTCCTTGGTGTTCTGTGCCAAATGTGTACTTTATGTTGTTTTACGGTAATAATGATGTCATGATAGTAATAATATTTTGCTGATTTCATTATGTGATGAACCTCCTCTGATTCAGTACTTGTTTTATGTTTTATGTATTTGTTGTCCTGCCCTCCAGCATGCTGAAACAGATCTGTGAGCAGAATGGTTACCTGGGATACATCGTAAGAGAGGCTCTCCAAGCCTACCTCCAGGGCTCCTGGTGAGAGAAGCAAAATAGACTAGTTCATCAGTCCAATTTCCCTCACATTCATTTGATTAGTCAAATATAGTTACTGATGTTTGTGAGTGTGTGTGTGTGTTTGTGTGTGTGCGCGCGTGCATGGGGATTAGCTTGTTGTATTGTTGTTGCATTTATTCTGTATTGTTCCTAAAGGGGCGAGGCTCTGGTGAGGTATGCCCTGGCTGCTGAAACAGGTTTGGGAGTGGCCCAGAATAATGTTGCCTACCTATGTGAGGTAAGGAGTCTGGCATTTGAATTCTTATTTTCTCATGGAAAGATACTGCATCTCTCATATTATTCTGAAATCAATTAGTTCGGGTTTAGTGACGGATTCATTTGAGAGACACACAAGGACACCCAGAGCCTTGACAGAGAGACATTCATTACCATAAGCCATATGATACACCTGAGTTACCACTCGTTTTTAATTGCAGGAGTTGAAGCAGAGCTATGATTGTCAATGGAGGTATTACAACCATTCCACAATGAACTATGCTCCACATGACTCTGGTGAGTTCCTGTCCTACAGTGTCATCACAGCCTCTAGTCAGTAGTGGAAAAGCTAGTTTACAAAAAGCACCTGTCTCTGTTAGCCTGGTCCCAACTCCATTGCTTTCATTGTCAAGCCAAACATTTGGCATGACAAAGAGTGACAATGAGTTGGCATGATTGCACAGACTGTCACTCAGGCTATCGCTCTGTTTCCAGGTTTGGTGAAGATGGGAGACTACTACTACTCAAGCAGCAGGGAAGGAGCTGTTGATCAGGCTATATCACTGTACAGCAGAGCAGCCCTGGCAGGCAGTTCTCAGGTGTCTTACCATTTATTATCACTGTCATTTACATGCTACAATAAAGCCTCCAGAATCCTTAAGCCTTCTGTCAAAGTAACCGGAATCAGAATTATAATACATTCATACATGTCAGTTTGCATGTTTTTATTACTGTTCTTATAATTATTTTTTCCTTATGAACCATCAGGGAATATATAAGTTGGTGGTTTTGGCAGAAGAGGGACATGATGTCCCATTGATCATCAGAGACAGATTAAACATATCAGTTCATGATGGGCTGGACATTGTGGTGGAGAGACTCTTACAAAGGTACTTCCCCTTCTGCTTAGCAGCATCATATATGACTCATCAAGACTAATTAATAATAGACTGTGTATGCCAATGCTTTGTTTCTGTTTTGTTCTGTTCTTCCCCCATAGATGTGTAGAGTTGGATGAAGATGAGGATCTGACACCATGTACTTTAGCTCTACTCAGAGTCCACATTGGAAAAGCCTGGAGAAAAGTTACTGAAGACCCCATACAGCTGTCACTGGTAGGCCATTATCTTTATGATAAGTATGACAAGGATCAGGGGGTTTCCCCTGCTCATCATGTGATCTGACCATGACTAGTCAGACCAATATGACAATGTCTTTATCAGTCACATCCCACTGAGCACAGACGTCAGTTCAACGTATAGTTTTGAGTTGTCAACTAACTTTAAATTCAATGTGAAATCATCAACAAATGTCACCATGTCATTGGATTTAGGTAAAGATTTGGGTGAAAAAAACACGAAATGCATTGATTACTTTTTGCAAATCCAATCAGTTTTCCACGTTGATTCAACATTAAACCTGTTTTTGCCCAGTGGGATAGCTCATGGTTTTTAACAAAATAAAATGCAAGACAATTTCAAAGTTGTCTAATGGAACTGAAAATGTGATCCTGTAAATCCTGTCTTCCAGGTTTATACATCTGTTGTTACTCTCATCATTGCTCTGATTACTGTGCTAATCCAAAGTGCTCTGGGTAAGTCAGTTTTCTGAATACCTCCCTGCTAAAATACTGTTACATTTACTTAATAATTGTATCAATGTAATAGTGAATAGTCTGAATGTCCACCTGTCATGATCACATCTCCATATCTTATGACCACGTACTGTTGCCTCAGTTGGATATCTGTCACAGACTAGTTGTGTTACAGCTACAGCCTAATGTTAAATACATCAGAGGAGGCTGGTGAAGGGAGGACAGCTCATAATAATGTCTGGAATGGAATCAATGGAATGGTATCAAAAACTTGGAAACCATGTGTTTGATACTGTCCCATTTATTCCATTCCAGCCATTACAATGAGCACGTCCTCCGATTTAAAGCGACACCAGCCACCACTGGAATGCTGTGCCCTTCTGCATGTTTCATATTTATTTTTGTCCCCATTGTACATATAGAAAGCCTATGTTAAATTGTAAAACCGACCCATTGTTTTTTCATACCAAACTCTTGTGATTTATTACATCAATGCTTGACTGGTAAACGGTTTCTTTGTCCCCAGAGTGTCTCGAAGTGGACATCCCACCTAGACAACGTAGGCATACCACTGACCGTGCAGTAGAAGACAGGACAGGGACATCCCCTGTCAATCAAGCAGAAGTCAATGGGAATGGACAGCAGGATCAGAATGACCCCATCATGAGAGAAGACAGAATGTCCAGAACTGTTAGAATGGCCCAGGGTCTATGGTCCATTCTACTGAGGGATGGACAGAGAGTGCAGCGTATAGCTGACCTGGCTGTTACTGTGTCTGGGGTGTGTCTCTGTGTCCTCTGCACATTGATCCTCAATCATCTGCTCTGATAGTTGTTTTAAAGATTTTTATTTGCATAGGAATGAGTATAAATGATTTCATATCCCACCCTCATTGTCAATCTGATAGAATGATTGACAAAAAGCGCAGTTGACAGAAATTGCTGGAGTACTTATTGTGAAAAATCTAAAAAATACTCTTGATGAAGGGGCCCAACCGGAAGCCCGTATTGTTAGCATGATAAAAAAGTAATAATTTGCAAGTTTAGTGTGGTAGTTGAAACTATGGTTGCATACCTCCAACTCACATGCAAACAACCTGTATGCTATGGGCATATGCTATTGGCATACCTTGAAAATGCCTTGCATTCAAATGTTTCCAACTGGCTTGAATGTTGTCAGATTTGTTATGCTCTGTGGAGTATTTCTAGACAGGGAATTGGAGCTTAGGTTATCTCAGAGAAATGTGCTACACTTGTGTTAAAAAAAATATGCTTGAAAAGCAATTATGATGTTAAGATAATTTTTATTAATTTTATTGGTTTGAATGTTCCGTTCTGCAACAATTCAGTAGAGCTCTTATATCAGTGCAAATGCTGTAATCAATAGTTAATCAATTGGCTTGGTGGATACAACCTCAGGACCAGAAGTGAAAGCCTTAGTGGGTTGGTCAGAGAGTGAGAGCTCTGTTCTAATACTAATACATCAGCTATTAAAGCCAGCGTTTTCCTGGTCCTATCAGTGACTTTCTGATGATAAGTGTCCCTAGCAGCATGGCACTGGACAGGGAACAACAGCACGTGGGGCTCTTAAACGTCTTGTCTGTTTACGTCCGCTACGTTAGGTTAGTCCAAGGCCGATCAGATGGACTGGCTTCTGCTGGTTAACTTATTACAGTTTTTGTCTGAGCAGCTGTCCAGATTCTGCTTGATTTATTAGTAAGGGTTATGAATCATACATAACTATGATGGGTTACCCAGAGTAAATATGGTGGGTCTGCAAGAGTATGAGTGTGTGCAGCATTCCTAGACCCAGGGCCAGGGTTTAAGTCAGATTTTTCATGTAATTAACTGTCAGTTCTCCGTATGTGGGTCAGTGAGTGAGATATGATTGTATTCTGTGAAACACACTAAGCCCCATCATCATGTTGATACAGTACTTCAGATAAGAACTTCGTATTATGGGGATGGTAGAACTGGTACTATGGATCTGTGTTATGTATTTCATAATAGGTTGGGGAACTTCTATGAGCTAAACAGCAGAATCCTTTCTAGTATTTGCTTGATCAGCTGTTATTTACAGCATAAACTGCAACTGTTGGAGGGCTCTCTCTTTCTCTTTCTCTCTTTAATATGCAGATCATTATTTAATCATTACATGACGATTGATATTACCTTGAATCTTGGCAACAACAAACACAGATGAACAAGATTAATTGCCAACAAACACTGTGACAAAATGTAATAAATGTGACAGTTTAACTGCTATCACGTTATGCTTTGTAATAATATTCTGTTTGGTCAAACTCATATAATAGATATGATTCCCACAGGCAACCATTGTAATTGTTTATGGTTCTCTTTTTTTCATGGAAACTTTTAGACTTTGTCAATATCCAGGACATACAGAGATTGAGTTGATGCGTGGTCTAAGCCAGAACTTTCCCTACCTGCATATTTTCTTTCATTACTATAACACTACTCAGTCTGAAATTATAGATTGAATTGGTAATGTGTTAATCAATATTTGAGAAATCATAGCAATGATAACCTTGTATTTGGTTTTCTGATCTGCTGCCATTTGTGCCAATTGATTTAGACACTAGTTAACTATAAAGTGCTATCACCATATTCAGAGTTCTACTCATGAAGTGCACCTTGGCTTGAGCACCATAAGCAGGGGTGGTCTCCCAGGTGAACTATAGGGCAGGACAGGCATTTGGGTGGTAGGAGGTGATACAGCGTCCGTACAGTGTACCTGTAGGTCTCAATGGTCCAGAGGATGTTGGCCTTCACGCCTGATCAGGGCAAAGTTCTGCCACGATGAGTACTGTCCAAAGGCACATCTGATACATTTCACTTACTACTATCAGTAGTACATACTGATACAACCTCCCAAAAACCAGCTACAGCATTGGAGCACAACTCACCCAAGGTAACCAGTCTACTGTACCCATTAGCTGTGATGAAGTGGTGTTGAAGGAGTCAGGCACAGGAGGGTAAATCACAGAATAACAGGCTTTAATCCGCAAAATACAGGTTTACACAGAAATGCGTCAAACACACTCCAGGGCACAAAACAGGCGCACTGGAAAATACAAGGCACACGGGAAATACTCCCGTCGATACAAAATACGTGAGCTCCACCGAGCTTCACCAACCTCCACAATAAACAATCACCCACACAGGCAAGGAAGCATAGGGAACACTTATACAATGACTAATGCGGGAATAAGGACCAGGTGTGTGTGATTGAAGACAAGACGAATGGAGTGATGATAAATGGATCGGCAGTAGCTAGTAAGCCGGTGACACCGAACGCCGAAACCTGCCCTAACAAGGAGGGGAGGCAGCCTCGGCGGAAGTCGTGACAGTACCCCCCACTTGACGCGCGGCTCCAGCAGCGCGCCAACCCCGGCCTCAGGGACAGCCAGGAGGACGCGGAGCAGGGCGAGCCGTATGGCGACGGTGGAAATCCTGTAACATGGAGAGATCCTACCCACGTCCTGATTTACCTGTTCCACCTCCCCATTACTCTCGGGGTGGAACCTAGAGGTCAGGCTGACCGAGACCCCCAGACATTCCATGAATACCTTCCAGACCTTGGACGTGAACTGGGGACCTCGGTCAGACTATATTCTCTGGTACCCCGTAGTGCCGGAAGATGTGTGTAAACAGGGCCTCCGCAGTTTGCAGAGCCGTGGGGAGACCGGGCAGAGGAAGGAGGTGGCAGGCTTTAGAAAAGCGGTCCACAACGACCAGGATGGTGGTGTTACCTTGGGAGAGGGGAAGATAATAAACACTTAGGTGAGACCATGGTCGTTGTGGAACTGGTAAAGGTTGTAACTTACCAGCTGGTAAGTTACAAGGTGCCTTACTCTGGGCGCACACTGAGCAGGAGGAGACATACACCCTCACGTCCTTAGCCAAGGTAGGCCACCAGTATTTTCCGGTCAGGCAGCGCACTGTACGGCCGATACCTGGGTGACCAGAAGATGGTGACGTGTGTGCCCAGTAGATCAGACGATCACGGACAAGAGCAGGCACGTACTGTAGCCCATCTGGACACTGGGGTGGAGAGGGATCCGTGCGTAATGCCTAATCTATAGCCGCGTCCATCGCCCATACTACCGGCGCCACAATGCAGGAGGCCGGCAGTATGGGGGTGTTGTCGCTGGGCCTCTCCTCTGTGTCATACAGCCGGGACAGTGCGTCTGCCTTCACGTTCTTCGTACCTGGGATGTATGATAGATTGAAATCAAACCAGGTGAAGAATAGGGCCCACCTGGCCTGGCGAGGATTCAGCCTCCTCGCTGCCCGGATGTACTCCAGGTTACTGTGGTCCGTCCAGACGAGGAAAGGGTGTTTCGCCCCCTCGAGCCAATGCCTCCACACGGTCAAGGCTCGGACAACAGCCAACAGCTCCCGGTCACCAACGCCGTAGTTCTGCTCCGCCGGGCTGAGCTTCTTCGAGAAGAACGCACAGGGGCGGAGCTTGGGTGGCATACCCGAGCGTTGAGACAGGACAGCTCCTACGAACGGCATCCACCTCCACTACGAACGGTAGTGATGAATCGGGGTGGGCCAGTACTGGGGCTGAGGTGAACAGACCCCGCAGTTTGCTGAAGGCCAGGTCAGCCTCAGCAGACCAGCGGAGCCAGGACAGCCCACCCTTCAACAGGGAGGTAATGGGAGCTGCGACTTTGCCAAAGCCCCGGATAAACCTCCGATAGCAGTTGGCGAAGCCAAGGAGGCGCTGCACCTCCTTAACCGTGGTTGGAGTAGCCCAATTACGCACGGCTGAAATGCGATCTCCCTCCATCTCCACACCTGAGGTGGAAATGCGGTATCCATGGAAGGAAACGGACTGCTGAAAAAACATACACTTCTCTGCCTTAGCATAAAGGTCATTTTCCAACAGTCGGGCCAGCACCTTGCGAACCAGGGACACATGCTCGGCGCGCGTAGCAGAATACACCAGGATGTCATCGATGTAGACCACTACACCGCGACCAAGCATGTCCCGAAACACCTCGTTCACAAAGGACTGGAAAACTGAGGGAGCATTCATCAAACCATAGGGCATCACCAGGTATTTATAATGCCCAGTGGTTGTGCTGAATGCTGTCTTCCACTCATCTCCTTCTCGGATACGTACCAGGTTGTACGCACTCCTGAGATCTAATTTGGTGAAGAAGCGCGCCCCATGCATTGATTCAATCACTGAAGGAATGAGGGGGAGAGGATAACTAAATCTTAATGCCTCCCTGTTCAGTGGTCGATAATCAATGCACGGGCGCAGACCTCCGTCCTTCTTCTTCACAAAGAAGAAACTTGAGGAGGTGGGTGAAGTGGAGGGACGTATATACCCCTAGACACCTACCCTGATACTCTCGCGACCACCCCGTGAGAACCCTCTGCGGCCATGAGAAGGTGGGGTTGTGGAGTGCTAGCCAAGGGATACATAATACCACAGGGAAAGCAGTAGACTCAATAATGGAAAAAGTAACCTGCTCACAATAATAATAAGCCATTTAGCAGACACTTTTATCCAAAGCAACTTACAGTAATGTGTGCATACATGTTTTGTGTATGGGTGGTCCCGGGGATCGAACCCACTACCTTGGCGTTACAAGCGCCGTGCTCTACCAGCTGAGCTACAGAGGACCACTATGAGTCTCCTGGGTAATCATGGTGACTGGTGCAGTAACTTCCTTAACCAACCCGGACCCTAATGGTCGACTATCAAGTGCTCTGATGGGGCATGGAATGGATAGGGGAATCAATGGAATGCCTATACGGTGTGCGAATGCCCCGTCCATAAAGTTCCCAGCTGCGCCTGAATCGACTAGCGCCTTACACTGGGGAACTACCATGTGCTCAGGAAAGGAGATGTGTATTTTACAGTGCGCAGCAGAGGGCTCTGAACGAGTGTGGGTGTTTGATTCCTGGGGTGATGCGAGAGTGCCCTGCCCGCCGTCTCTAAACCCAGAAGAGCGTTGACGAAAACGTGTGGTGAAATGTCCTTGGCGCCACCAGTGTGGCACTGGCGCTGTCGTCCTCCGCTCTCTCAGCTAGCGGTTCCACCCATCTCCATCGGTTTTGGATCCGAGTCGGCCTGGATGGAAACGGGCAGACCTCCTCCAGGATGTCCTTTGGTTGCCAGCAGGTTGTCCAAACAAATGGCCATGTCCACCAGTTGCGAGAAGGACAACATGGTGTCACGGCAGGCTAGCTCCCGTCGGACGTCCTCTCGCAGATGGCACCGGAAATGGTCGATCAGGGCCTGCTCGTTCCACCCGGACCCAGCTGCCAGAGTTCGAAACTCCAATGCGAAGTCCTGCACAGTCCTCGTCCCCTGCCTCAGGTATACCAGCCGCTCGCCCGCCACTCGACCCTCGGGCAGGTGATCGAAGACTGCCCGGAAGAGGCGAGCGAACTACCCGTAGTTCTCCTACGAGGCTCCTCCTTTGTTCCACACCGCGTTGGCCCACTCCAGGGCTTTCCCCGAGAGGCAGGAGACGAGGGCGGACACCCTCTCCCGCTCCGATTGGACCGGCCGGATGCTGGAGAAGTAGAGCTCCAGTTGGAGAAGGAATCCTTGGCACAGCGCCGCTGTCCCGTAGAACTCCCATGGTCGGGATATCTGGATCCCTCCGGGTGCTGGGGTGTAGGTGGCGGGATCCGGTTGGCCAGCTGGTCTCTACGGATCAGGCTCTCTCCTCTCCAGGCGTTGGACGACCTGAAGAACCCGATCCATCGCTTCACCCAAGCTGGCTAGCATAGTTGAATGCTCCTGGACCCGTTCCACGACTCCAGGCATGCGCGTCTCTCCCGCTGACTCCATAGCGGGTGGGTGATTCTGTGATGAGGTGGTGTTGAAAGAGTCAGGCGCAGGAGGGTAAATCACAGAATAACAGGCTTTAATCCGCAAAATACAGGTTTACGCAGAAATACGTCAAACACACTCCAGGGCACAAAACAGGCGCACTGGAAAATACAAGGCACATGGGAAATACTCCCGTCGATACAAAATACACGAGCTCCACTAACCTCCACAATAAACAATCACCCACACAGACAAGGAAGCAGAGGGAACACTTATCCCATGACTAATGAGGGAATAAGGACCAGGTGTGTGTGATTGAAGACAAGACAAATGGAGTGATGATAAATTGATCGGCAGTAGCTAGTAAGCCGGTGACGCCGAACGCCGAAATCTGCCCGAACAAGGAGGGGAGGCAGCCTCGGTGGAAGTCGTGACATTAGATTACATTTACAGTATGAATTATCAATCACATGACCATATATGTTGAAATATAAAATATATATTCCACAACACAAAATATATCATAATACTAAAAATAACATTTCAGTTTTTTTCCTATAAGCATGACAAACTGATGCATTGGTTTCCAATATTTATTGATGAGAGACAATACTGTGAAACTCCATATAAAACAGATACCAACATGTATTCAGTCCTACAGAATGTAAAATTACAGTATTGTGGACTCAGTAATGAAAGAATATACAATATATAAAATATCAAATAGGAATATTACACTAATCGGAAATATGACACGACATTCAGTTTACAACTAACAATTTGTATTATTTACAAATATCAAAAGATAAAACATTTAAAAATAGTAATAACAGAAAATATTTCAGTGATTCAATAAACAGTACATGTTTATCCCATTCTATTTATCATGAAAGTTGAAATGATACATTTAATACACATTATCAAAAATATATAACATGGATGTCTACAGTTGAAGTCGGAAGTTTACATACACCTTAGCCAAATACATTTAAACTCAGTTTTTCACAATTCCTGACATTTAATCCTAGTAAAAATTCCCTGTCTTAGGTCAGTTAGGATCACCACTTTATTTAAAGAATGTAAAATGTCAGAATAATAGTAGAGAGAATTATTTCTTTCAGCTTTTATTTCTTTCATCACAGTGGGTCAGAAGTTTACATACACTCAATTAGTATTTGGTAGCATTGCCTTTAAATTGTTTAACTTGGGTCAAACGTTTCGGGTAGCCTTCCACAAGCTTCCCACAATAAGTTGGGTGAATTTTGGCCCATTCCTCCTGACAGAGCTGGTGTAACTGAGACAGGTTTGTAGGCCTCCTTGCTCTCACACACTTTTTCAGTTCTGCCCACACATTTTCTATAGGATTGAGGTCAGGGCTTTGTGATGGCCACTCCAATACCTTGACTTTATTGTCCTTAAGCTATTTTGCCACAACTTTGGAAGTATGCTTGGGGTCATTGTCCATATGGAAGATCCATTTGCGACTAAGCTTGAACTTCCTGACTGATGTCTTGAGATGTTGCTTCAATATATCCACATAATTTTCCTTCCTCATGATGGCATCTATTTTGTGAAGTGCACCAGTCCCTCCTGCGGCAAGGCACCCCCACAGCATGATGCTGCCACCCCCGTGCTTCACGGTTGGGATGGTGTTCTTCGGCTTGCAAGCACCCCCCTTTTTCCTCCAAACATAACGATGGTCATTATGGCAAAACAGTTCTATTTTTGTTTCATCAGACCAGTGGACATTTCTCAAAAAAGTACGATCTTTGTCCCCATGTGCAGTTGCAAACCGTAGTCTGGCGTTTTTATGGCAGTTTTAGAGCAGTGGCTTCTTCCTTGCTGAGCGGCCTTTCAGGTTATGTCGATATCGGACTAGTTTTACTGTGGATATAGATACCTTTGTACCTGTTTCCTCCAGCATCTTCACAAGGTCCTTTGCTGTTGTTCTGGGATTGATTTGCAATTTTCGCACCAAGGTACGTTCATCTCTAGGAGACAGAACGCGTCTCCTTCCTGAGCGGTATTATGGCTGCGTGGTCCCATGGTGTTTATACTTGCATACTATTGTTTGTACAGATGAATGTGGTACCTTCAGGCGTTTGGAAATTGCTCCCAAGGATGAACCAGACTTGTGGAGGTCTACAATTTTTCTTCTGAGGTCTTGGTTGATTTCTTTTGATTTTCCCATGATGTCAAGCAAAGAGGCACTGAGTTTGAAGGTAGGCCTTGAAATACATCCAAAGGTACACCTCCAATTGACTCAAATGATGTCAATTAGCCTATCAGAAGCTTCTAAAGCCATAATCATTTTCTGGAATTGTCCAAGCTGTTTAAAGGCACAGTCAACTTAGTGTATGTAAACTTCTGACCCACTGGAATTGTGATACAGTGAATTATACGTGAAATAATCTGTCTGTAAACAATTGTTGGAAAAATTATTTGTGTCATGCACAAAGTACATGTCCTAACCGACTTGCCAAAACTATAGTTTGTTAACAAGAAATGTGTGGAGTGGTTGAAAAACAAGTTTTAATGACTCAAACCTAAGTGTATGTAAACTTCCGACTTCAACTGTAGGTCCAAAAGTCTCCTTAACAGCTTCTACCCCCAAGCCATAAGACTGCTGAACAGTTAATCAAATGGCTACCCGGACTATTTGCATTGACCCCCCCCCCCCCCTTTTTTTTTTACGCTGCTGCTACTCGCTGTTTATTATCTATGCATAGTCACTTTACCTCTACCTACATCTACATATTACCTCAATTACCTTGACTAACCCGTACCCCCGCACATTGACTCAGTACCGGTACCCCCTGTATATAGCCTTGTTATTGTTATTTTATTGTGTTAATATTTTTTTTTACTTGAGTTTATTTACTAAATATTTTCTTAACTCTTATTTGTCTTAAAACTGCGTTGTTAGTTTTAAGGGCCTCTAAGTAAGCATTTCACGGTAAGGTCTACACCTGTTGTATTCGGTGCATGTGACAAATACTATTTTATTTTATTTTATTTGAGTCTGTTGTATGATTCCATGGAGTGGTTTTTAGCAATATATGTATTTCGCCCCAATAAATATATACAGTGGATACTCAACACTTTTTGGTGATGTTCTCCTACAAGAAGTACAGTTGCCCTGTTCGGGCCTACACCACTTCGTGACACAGTATCACCGAAACAGAGACTGGTTAACTCCATAAAGCCTGAGCAAACATGGGGGATTACAAATATGTTACAAATAGGTTATATATGTCTTACAGAAATGTTACAGTGAATTCATAACTGTGTCAGAGCTGTGTAGCTTTCACAGTTTCCTTGGGGGTCTCTTGTGGCTCATTGTCTCTGGTTAGGGCTGGGTTATCATACATCTCTTGACTCTTCTTCCTCTCCTTACCACCCTTGTCTTCATCCTCAGTCTTCTGGCAGCACTTAAAGCAGCAGCAGCAGCGGGTGCCACAGAAGGCCATGCCAGACATCACCACCTGATCCCAGGGGGCCATGGAGTGCAGGGGGCGGGGCAGGAAGTCCCAGTTCCGCAGCCCGCTGGGCAGGTACCGAGGACAACGCACCTGCATCAGGTTGACGATGATGATGAAGATGGCCAGTACAACGATGGGCACGGCCACCCCCACCAGGGCCTGCCAGCTGGCCAGAGAGAGCCCCAGGATGGTCAGGGGCATGAGGAAGAAGCAGAGCAGGAGGTAGATCACTGCGAACCAGCGATACTTGGCTGTGCGGTTCCCCAGGGCTCTGGCCAAGCGGATGGGGATCCGAGTGAATGGGATAGGGTACCACAGCAAGATCCCTGCTATGTTGAAGAAGAAATGGCACAGTGCAATCTGGAGAGGAGATGCAAACAGGGTGAGTGAAACTTAAAAAATACTGATGTATACAGAGAGAGAGTGGACAGAGAGCAATATGACACCGCCATTAAAATAAATGATTACTACAACAAACCTGCAATGAGTTGGCCAGTGTTTCTCCGGGAGCAGCCATAGCAGCAAGAATAGCAGTGGTAGTTGTGCCGATATTAGAGCCCAATGTCAGGGGATAGGCTCTCTCAAGGCTAATAACACCAATACCTGTTAGAATTTAGAGAGAAGGAATAAGACATGGGGCAGAGAAAAATAATACATGCCGGGTTACATGATACTGAAAGAATACTTGAGTGTACCAGTAGGTTTGGATGCAATAGGAGACAGCTAAAGGTAAATGGATAGATAGACGCTAAACAAATAGGCCTACTACTCACCAACAAGGGGCGTGATTGCAGAGGTGAAGACAGAGCTGCTCTGAACGATGAAGGTCATTCCTGCTCCGACCAGGATGGCGATGTAACCAGTGACCCAGCCGAAGGGGAAGGGGAAGTCTGAACAGACAAGACAGAGCAGGTTAAGCATTAGCTTGGAGACCATAACCGTAAGATCACTCTGACCCTATTATGACACCTTCAACATCAAAGTGAATTGTAGGATTACTTTCGGCATCAACATCAAACTGACCGTGAGAATCACAGGATAGTTGTACCTGAGCTTGGACTGTCATGTAACAGGACCAGAGCACCTGATGTGACCTTCAAGCTGCAGAGTGGCTTTACCTGTGTTATCAAACAGGACGCATGTTCTACTAGCATTCTGAGTAGATTGGGAAGATAGCCAATGTCTTCTCACCTGTGTTGAGCACCTTCTTGATGACCACGGCCACCTGTCCCTTGAGCATGGAGTTGAGCAGCTTGACGATGAGGATGAGGCAGGTACAGAGGATGAGCAGGGACAGGGCCAGCAGGATGAGGCCCACAGCCAGGTCAGGCAGGTTAGCATAGGCAAAGATATGGTTGCCTGCATGGGAAGATCCCAAATGTTATTAAAGATATACCTGGGACAAAGGTGGGATAACACTGAAAGATTAGAGAGAAGGTCATTAGTTTAGTGAGATTAGTGATAAGGTAATTTTTCTGTCCTGACATGACTTCCACCGATTTGATGGAAAGGATAGGAAGAATGTTACTTCAATAGTCAACATGTTTTTTCCCCCATATCTTCTACACTTATCCCTGACATGTCTGGTGACCCAAAGTAAGGGGTTACATTACAACAGGATCTGATCCAAGCCAAAATGAGAGCGATGACCCTTTCCCTTGTTTTGATTGGCTGATTTTTAAATCCAAGCGTACAGGTATTCATTTTGATTGGCTGTGTCAGACTTGGGAGTGCTAGCCGTCGTTCGGCCTTGGGCCACTCAGGTGCTTCAGCTGGCCAGAATGAATGGGCCTTTTGAGTGGGTTGAGGGGGTGTGGGGAGGGTATTTGAGCAGGCAGAGGGGGTGAGGGGAGGGTATTTGAGCAGGGAGAGGAGGTGAGGGGAGGGTTTTTGAGCAGGTAGAAGAGGTGAAGGGAGGGTATGTGATGAGTCACTTAATAGACTGAATGGAAGTCATTGTCCTTGTCTGGCTGAATGGAAGTCATTGTCCTTGTCTGGCGGTGGGGGGTGGGGGGGGGGGGGGGGGGGGTTCTCCGGTTTCACAGACGTTTAACTGAGCATATCAGGTAATCCAAATTGCTCTGTATAGGCCTTTGTGGGATCATGGGCACAGTGATTGTGCTGTACTTACATCTCTCTAGATTGATCGTCTCAGTCACATTTATCTGGGTCCATGTCCTGTTGCCTTCCACCCAACAGGGGATGCCGGTCGTGCAGTTGGCAGCTGAGGGAACTGTTATATTTAAAAGAGTCTAAAAAAGAATAATAATAGTTTTTTAGCCAATACAGATAAAATGCATAGTTCATAATCATTGTAATCAAACCCTATGGAAACAATAACCTTATCCACTTTGACTAGTAAAGACAGGGCATTTTATTAAAGGTGCAATACAGCCGTTTTTATCTCAATATCAAATCATTTCTGGGTAACAGTTAAGTACCTTACTGTGATTGTTTTCAATTAAAATTGTCAAAAAGAAACAAAAATAGCAAAGAGCAATTTTTCAAGCTAGAGTTTTGCTAGGACTGTCTGTGAGTGGTCTGAGTGGGGAGTGGAAAACTGAAAACTAGCTGTTATTAGCAGAGAGGTCTATTAACTGATTTACCACCTGGTGATGTCACCAGGCAGGCAAAAACTTTATCCCACCAAAACAACAGGCTGACATTTCAGGCGGTCTTTTCAAACAGCTCTTACACTAAAAGGGCATTATAATAATTTTCACAATTTCACAGGATTATTCCAAACTCATAGTGTGAAAATATATATATATAAACACAGGAAATTCGCGTTTTTGACTCATGGTGTAGTGGCAATAAAGCACTGGTCCTTATAAGTAGAAGAACTCTGGCCAAGCTAAAAGCTGTCAGACATTAACCCTGCGACAGAGGGCTTAAGAGATAGCACTCCCAGCTATACTACAGCGTTATCTTGTTTTTTACTGTCGGAAAACTCTTAATCCTCAATCATCACAAACTTGGTCAAAAATAACTCATTGTTTGACTATCTGATGAATAATTCCTGGTGTGACAGGGTTATTATGACAGGGTCTTACCGTGAATTTCTCTGTTCTGCACCAGATTTTGATCAGACTCTTGTTTCTGGCCGCTGGGTCACCCGTGGCAATGTCACTGATGACAGTTTTATCCAGCTAGAGGAAAGAAAGGTTTCTGTTCAGTTGTATATCATTTTATTATAGCCTACTAAAGTTCTCTATCAACTCAAATGTAAAATTAAGCTGATGTTTCAAATATGTTTCAGGGTTGTATATGCATCTTGTTAGCTATATAAATACATTCTAATACGTTTCACTTCTCATATTGTAGTTAATGCTTTATCAGGTGCATTAGTGACGCTCATGCGATAATAATATACGCCATTTAGAAGACACTTTTAACCAAAGCGACTTACAATCATGCATACATTTTACGTATGGGTGGCCCCAGCGGGAATCGAACCCACAATATTTGCTGTTGTAAGCGCCATGCTCTACAGATTGAGACACACAGGACCACCTACAGTGAGGGAAACAAGTATTTGATCCCGTGCTGATTTTGTACGTTTGCCCACTGGCAAAGAAATTATCAGTCTATAATTTTAATGGTAGGTTTATTTGAACAGTGAGAGACAGAATAACAACAAATAAATCCAGAAAAACGCATGTCAAAAATGTTATAAATTGATTTGCATTTTAATGAGGGAAATAAGTATTTGACCCCCTCTCAATCAGAAAGATTTCTGGCTCCCAGGTGTCTTTTATACAGGTAACGAGCTGAGATTAGGAGCACACTCTTAAAGGGAGTGCTCCTAATCTCAGTTTGTTACCTGTATAAAAGACACCTGTCCACAGAAGCAATCAATCAATCAATCAGATTCCAAACTCTCCACCATGGCCAAGACCAAAGAGCTCTCCAAGGATGTCAGGGATAAGATTGTAGACCTACAATGGGCTACAAGACCATCGCCAAGCAGCTTGGTGAGAAGGTGACAACAGTTGGTGTGATTATTCGCAAATGGAAGAAACACAAAATAACTGTCAATCTCCCTCGGCCTGGGGCTCCATGCAAGATCTCACCTCGTGAGGTTGCAATGATAATGAGAACGGTGAGGAATCAGCCCAGAACTACACGGGAGGATCTTGTCAATGATCTTAAGGCAGCTGGGACCATAGTCACCAAGAAAACAATTGGTAACACACTACGCCGTGAAGGACTGAAATCCTGCAGCGCCCGCAACGTCCCCCTGCTCAAGAAAGCACATATACAGGCCCGTCTGAAGTTTGCCAATGAACATCTGAATGATTCAGAGGAGAACTGGGTGAAAGTGTTGTGGTCAGATGAGACCAAAGTCGAGCTCTTTGGCATCAACTCAACTCGCCATGTTTGGAGGAGGAGGAATGCTGCCTATGACCCCAAGAACACCATCCCCACCGTCAAACATGGAGGTGGAAACATTATGCTTTGGGGGTGTTTTTCTGCTAAGGGGACAGGACAACTTCACCGCATCAAAGGGACGATGGACGGGGCCATGTACCGTCAAATCTTGGGTGAGAACCTCCTTCCCTCAGCCAGGGCATTGAAAATGGGTCGTGGCTGGGTATTCCAGCATGACAATGACCCAAAACACACGGCCAAGGCAACAAAGGAGTTGCTCAAGAAGAAGTACATTAAGGTCCTGGAGTGGCCTAGCCAGTCTCCAGACCTTAATCCCATAGAATATCTGTGGAGGGAGCTGAAGGTTCGAGTTGCCAAACGTCATCCTCGAAACCTTAATGACTTGGAGAAGATCTGCAAAGAGGAGTGGGACAAAATCCCTCCTGAGATGTGTGCAAACCTGGTGGCCAACTACAAGAAACGTCTGACCTCTGTGATTGCCAACAAGGGTTTTGCCACCAAGTACTAAGTCATGTTTTGCAGAGGGGTCAAATACTTATTTCCCTCATTAAAATGCAAATCAATTCATAACATTTTTGACATGCGTTTTTCTGGATTTTTTTGTTGTTATTCTGTCTCTCACTGTTCAAATAAACCTGCCATTAAAATTATAGACTGATAATTTCTTTGTCAGTGGGCAAACATACAAAATCAGCAGGGGATCAAATACTTTTTTCCCTCACTGTATGTTATAGCAATCTGTCAGTCGATGACACAGTCAATGACATGGCACGCAACCATTGGTTGATGCATGCAACGTCTGGGCAGGAGCATTATCTTTTCAGAAGTACTAACCTTTGCTTGCTCATAGTTGGTTGAAATCACATGATGCACACCAGATGACATCATCCAGAATAACATTTTATATAGTGATTAATAAGATGTTTCATGATGGTGAAATCGCTGCTCCTACCGCTATGATGGTGCTGGTGAGGGGGTTAGTGATGACGTTGAGCAAGTCAGGGGCATTGTCACCCCCCCGGATGTTAAAGGAGTCGATGACGATCTTGGTGAGTTTATACAGGACACCAGTGGCCGCCTCCAGCGGCAGCAGGATCAGCACAGACAGCCAGTTAAAGAAGTCATGAACCGTGGCACCAGCAAACGCCCTGGAAGAAATAACACCAGGATCTACATCTCACTTTTTATCCAGCATGATATCATTATCTCTCTTTTTTCTTCCCAAAAAAATCTGCTTGTTACCAAGCAACAAATTAGAATGCTTTTTTATAGTCAAAAATGGTGATGTAAACTTCTATCGATTGAGGCTGCTTAGAAAGTTATCCAGTCAGATGTACCTGCGGAACTCATTTCTGTCACCTGCCTGCATCATGGCCACGATGGTGTTGGTGACTGAGGTTCCAATGTTGGCTCCCATAATGACGGGCACTGCAGACTGGACCTCCAGCACTACAATGAAGATACAATCACTTTAGGTTTATATGAGACAATAATCACTTGGCTTTGATCATGTAGGTATGTACGCTACCAGTCAAAAGTTTGGACACACCTACTCATTCAAGGGTTTTTCTTTATTTTCACTATTTTCTACATTGTACAATATTAGTGAAGACATCAAAACTATGAAATAACACATATGGAATCATGTAGTAACCAAAAAAGTGTTAAACAAATCAAAATATATTTTATATTTGAGATTCTTCAAAGTAGCCACCCTTTGCCTTGATGACAGCTTTGCATACTCTTGGCATTTTCTCAACCAGCTTCATGAGGTAGTCACCTGGAATGCATTTCAATTAACAGGTGTGTCTTGTTGAAAGTTAATTTGTGGAATTTCTTTCCTTCTTAATGCATTTGAGCCAATCAGTTGTGTTATGACAAGGTAGGGGCGTTATACAGAAGATTTGGTAAAAGACCAAGTCCATATTATGGCAAGTACAGCGCAAAGAGAAACGACAGTCCATCATTACTTTAAGACATGTAGATCAGTCAATACGGAACATTTCAAGAACTTTGGAAGTTTCTTCAAGTGCAGTCGCAAAAACCATCAAGCACTATGATGAAACTGGCTCTCATCTGCTAAATGGCATATTATTATTATTATTATTATCATGAGGACCGCCACAGGAATGGAAGACCCAGAGTTACCTCTGCTGCAGAGGATAAGTTAATTAGACTTACCAGCCTCATAAATTGCAGCCCAAATAAATGCTTCACAGAGTTCAAGTAACAGACACATCTCAAAATCAACTGATCAGAGGAGACTGTGTGAATGAGGCCTTCATGGTCGAATTGCTGCAAAGAAACCACTACTAAAGGACACCAATAATAAGAAGAGACTTGCTTGGGCCAAGAAACACGAGCAATGGACATTAGACTGGTGGAAATTTGTCCTTTGGTATGGAGTCCAAATTGGAGATTTTTAGTTCCAACCACTGTGTCTTTGTGAGATGCGGTGTGGGTGAACGGATGATCTCCGCATGTGTAGTTCCCACCGTAAAGCATGGAGGAGGAGGTATTATTGTGTGGGGGTGCTTTGCTGTTTACACTGTCTGCGATTCATTTAGAATTCAAGGCACACTTAACCAGCATGGCTACCACAGCATTCTGCAGCGATACGCCATCCCATCTGGTTTGGGCTTAGTGGGACTATCATTTGTTTTTCAACAGGACAATGACCCAACACACCTCCAGGCTGTGTAAGGGCTATTTGACCAAGAAGGAGAGTGATGGAATGCTGCATCAGATGACCTGGCCTCCACAATCCCCGGACCTCAACCCAATTGAGATGGTTTGGGATGAGTCGGACTGCAGAGTGAAGGAAAAGCAGCCAACAAGTGCTCAGCATATGTGGGAACTCCTTCAAGACTGTTGGAAAAGCATTCCAGGTGAAGCTGGTTGAGAGAATGCCAAGAGTGTGCAAAGCTGTCATCAAGGCAAAGGGTGGCTATTTGAAGAATCTCAAATATAAAATATATTTTGATTTGTTTAACACTTTTTTGTTTACTACATGATTCCATATGTGTTATTTCATAGTTTTGATGTCTTCACTAATATTGTACAATGTAGAAAATAGTGAAAATAAAGAAAAACCCTTGAATGAGTAGGTGTGTCCAAACTTTTGACTGGTACTGTATATAGATGTGTATGTATGAGTGTGTGCAAATGTGTTTGTTTACATTTTAGTCATTTAGCCGACGCTTTTATCCAGAGCAACTTACAGGAGCAATTAGAGTTAAGTGCCTTGCTCAAGGGCACAGGTAGATTTTTCACCTAGTCGGCTCGGGGATTCAAACCAGCAGACTTTTGGTTACTGGCCCAATGCTCTTAACTGCTAGGCTATCTGTTTATTTGTGTATGTGTCCCATGTGTACTTGTATGTGTGTTGATACTCACATCCAGAAGACACCATGCTGACCACAATAGAGGAGGATGTGCTGGAGCTCTGGACTAACACTGTGACCAGCACTCCAATCACCAGGCCAGCCACAGGGTTGGACAGCACCGCATTGTCCTGGAAGATGTCCCCGGCTGCCTTACCTACGGATACACAGTGACACACAGCCAAATTCACCATGAAAACGTCCCATAAGTGCTTTGATATCCATAAAACGTCTATTTTATGATATTCATAAACAGAATGAGAGGATAGAAAATATTGTGTAATGTCATCAACATGAAAGTATGAGAGTATCATCAAATGAGCAGAGCTAAAACATAAGTAGGGACAATAGGTCCCTTATCAGGACCTGGTTGACAATAAACATAACTTTTTATTACTTTAACCTCTTAAGGATCGGACCCTTTGTTTCAATTTTTGCCTAAAATGACATACCCAAATCTAACTGCCTGTAGCTCAGGACCTGAAGCAAGGATATGCATATTCTTGATACCATTTGAAAGGAAACACTTTGAAATGTGTGGAAATGTGAAATTAATGTAGGAGAATATAACACATTAGATCTGATAAAAGATAATACAAACAAAAAAACATGCATTTTCTATTTTTTTGAAATGCAAGAGTAAGGCCACAATATAATATTGCAGTTTAGGCACAATTTAGATTTTGGCCACTAGATGGTAGCAGTGTGTGTGCAAAGTTTCAGATTGATCCAGTGAAGCATTGCAATACTGGACTCTTTTGTATCAAGTCTGTCCAAATGTGCCGAATTGGTCAATTGATACATTTTCAAGTACATACAGTGGGGAAAAAGTATTTAGTCAGCCACCAATTGTGCAAGTTCTCCCACTTAAAAAGATGAGAGAGGCCTGTAATTTTCATCATAGGTACACGTCAACTATGACAGACAAAATTATAAAAAAAATTCCAGAAAATCACATTGTAGGATTTTTAATGAATTTATTTGCAAATTATGGTGGAAAATAAGTATTTGGTCAATAACAAAAGTTTCTCAATACTTTGTTATATACCCTTTGTTGGCAATGACACAGGTCAAACGTTTTCTGTAAGTCTTCACAAGGTTTTCACACACTGTTGCTGGTATTTTGGCCCATTCCTCCATGCAGATCTCCTCTAGAGCAGTGATGTTTTGGGGCTGTCGCTGGGCAACACGGACTTTCAACTCCCTCCAAAGATTTTCTATGGGGTTGAGATCTGGAGACTGGCTAGGCCACTCCAGGACCTTGAAATGCTTCTTACGAAGCCACTCCTTCGTTGCCCGGGCGGTGTGTTTGGGATCATTGTCATGCTGAAAGACCCAGCCACGTTTCATCTTCAATGCCCTTGCTGATGGAAGGAGGTTTTCACTCAAAATCTAACGATACATGGCCCCATTCATTCTTTCCTTTACACGGATCAGTCGTCCTGGTCCCTTTGCAGAAAAACAGCCCCAAAGCATGATGTTTCCACCCCCATGCTTCACAGTAGGTATGGTGTTCTTTGGATGCAACTCAGCATTCTTTGTCCTCCAAACACGACGAGATGAGTTTTTACCAAAAAGTTCTATTTTGGTTTCATCTGACCATATGACATTCTCCCAATCCTCTTCTGGATCATCCAAATGCACTCTAGCAAACTTCAGACGGGCCTGGACATGTACTGGCTTAAGCAGGGGGACACGTCTGGCACTGCAGGATTTGAGTCCCTGGCTGCGTAGTGTGTTACTGATGGTAGGCTTTGTTACTTTGGTCCCAGCTCTCTGCAGGTCATTCACTAGGTCCCCCTGTGTGGTTCTGGGATTTTTGCTCACCGTTCTTGTGATCATTTTGACCCCACGGGTGAGATCTTGCGTGGAGCCCCAGATCGAGGGAGATTATCAGTGGTCTTGTATGTCTTCCATTTCCTAATAATTGCTCCCACAGTTGATTTCTTCAAACCAAGCTGCTTACCTATTGCAGATTCAGTCTTCCCAGTCTGGTGCAGGTCTACAATTTTGTTTCTGGTGTCCTTTGACAGCTCTTTGGTCTTGGCCATAGTGGAGTTTGGAGTGTGTCTGTTTGAAGTTGTGGACAGGTGTCTTTTATACTGATAACAAGTTCAAACAGGTGCCATTAATACAGGTAACGAATGGAGGACAGAGGAGCCTCTTGAAGAAGAAGTTACAGGTCTGTGAGAGCCAGAAATCTTGCTTGTTTGTAGGTGACCAAATACTTATTTTCCACCATAATTTGCAAATAAATTCATTAAAAATCCTACAATGTGATTTTCTGGATTTTTTTTCTCTCATTTTGTCTGTCATAGTTGACGTGTACCTATGATGAAAATTACAGGCCTCTCTCATATATTTAAGTGGGAGAACTTGCACAATTGGTGGCTGACTAAATACTTTTTTCCCCCACTGTAACTAAAGAGAACACACAAAAATGATATGGTAATACAAAATGTAAGTTTACACACTCCCAGGAATGTCATAAATGATGGATCATGAGCTTATACACTAACTTTCACACATCTAGATGGCCAGAGACAGCAGGGGTTCAAACTGTAGAACCCAGTTCCTACATTTGAATATAAAATTGATTTTATCAAACGAAACTATGATACATTTTATCTCTGGGACCCTTAGGATGACAAGTCAGAGCAAGATTACTGAATGTAAGTACATTATTTACCTTCAGAGGTGAACGTATCAAACCAGTTGCCTTGATACGTATTTTTTTGTTGTGCACTCTCCTCAAACAATTGCATGGTATTTTGTCACTGTAATAGCTACTGTAAATTGGCCAGTGCAGTTAGATTAACAATAATTTAAGCTTTCTGCCCATATAAGACATGTCTATGTTCTGGAAAGTTTGCTGTTACTTACAACAGTCATGCTAATCACATTAGCGCACGTTAGCACAACCGTCCCGTATTCGGGACACCGATCCCATAGACGTTAATTTGATTGTGACTGTATATTATATGATTGGGTTGAATTATGTGCATCAACAAAGATTCAGTATAAAACCATAACATTCATTTTGTCAACTCTGACAGAGAGAGAGAGCGGGTTTAAAGTTACCTCCAACTAGCTGGAAAGCAGAGCTCAGGACGTCCAGAGAGCAGACGAACATGTAGAGAAGTCCAACTAGCAGAATAAACTTGACGATGGAAGTCAGAACCCGCATAACCTTCCCTTTGGCATCCAACTCTGTTTCCAAAGAGAGACTGGATTTTTGTTGGTGTAGTCACACAGGTTCTCACTTCAACAGCCTTGATTTTCATCACAGTGAAGGGTGAAGAAGGTGAGCTAGGCTGTGTCCGAAATGGCACCCTATTCCCTACATAGTGCACAACTTTTGACAAGCGCACATAGGTCAAAAGTCGTGCACTTTGTTGGGAATAAGGTGCAATTTCGGACACAATTTCAGACGCAACCATTCTCTATCTCACCTGACCACTTGAGTCCAGTGTCCTGCAGTTCAGGGAGGTTCCAGGGGTCATCCTCATCCGGGTCCTTGTCCACCAGGTCCATGGTAGAGTATGCCGGCAGGACGACTGAGTCTTTAGGTGCCTTACCAGCATCATCTGTGGGATTAGGATAATTGTGAGTGGAGGTTGCCTCTGTGTGTGGTGCTGCTGCCTGGTGGTGAGGTATGGATTTCATAGATAGTAAAGCGTAGCCTACTGTACATACCAAGAGTGGGAGATGGAGTATCTCTGAATTCTGGATGAAGAGGCATTGCCCTACAGGGAAAAATAACTTACATTACTTTGAGGTAAACCATGAAGAACATGTAGCAAACTTCAAGGTATATTGGAGTAAGGCTAAACAGTTTAGACTTTAATAAATCAATTTGGAAAGAAAGACATTTAAATGTGAAAAGCCAGTACCTGTTCACTTTTTAAGTATGTTTTTTCTCTCAGAGGAAACAAATACACAGTCCTTTTTTATTGTGACACCTCTTTTTGATAGTTCCTGATTTCTTATTTATTTTTGCGCATAACCAAGAAATCTTATGCCTGTCACAAGATGTTACAAAATATGACAATTTCTGCTTTAAATTATGGAAACTTATTCCACGGGAATAACTCATGGTGATGTTGCTTTTTCACATCCACATTGATAAAAGTCCACAGAGAAATACAAATATGACTGTATGCTAGGGACCTACTATCCTCAAGAAAACCATACGAAAAGTTGAATCAGTAAAGCTCTCTAAGCTAATTTTCCAAGGATCAAAATGAGTTATCTCAAACAACAATAGGGTACAACAGAGGCATGCTATGCCTATTACTAGGCTAAAACTAATACAATTAATGCCTATTAATCTAATAATAACAATAATAGTTATATCCTCATTATCTTTGCAACATTTGACCCCCCAAAAATGCAAGGTAAAAACAGCAGAAAATAGCACTCCTGAGAACAAGCTCGACCAGTCATTGGCCCCAAACTGTGTGTAGCTGCGTGCCAACAACAACAACAATAATAATAATAATTTCGAGGTTATAAGCGCATACAGCTATAGGTAACAATTCCTAACATATCTTTGTTTGGTTTGTTGTGGTTTTATTTTGTTGTGATATTACCTAAATGAGTCTTGTTTCTAATGTGTGGTGTATTGCAGTATGAAGGGTGGTAATACGCACCTGCAGTGGAGGCTTTTGCAGGAGTCCTTCACCTGAGCTACCTCGATACCGCGTACTGCTTATAAAGCGCTGGGGAGGGAAAACCCGCTGGACCCTGACTGTTCAAAGTCCGTGGCAAAAGGGGCGCTCTGACAGTGAGTGAGTGACCTTACCTGAGCATCCACAGTGAATGTAGGCCAGGCAACATCAAATGATTAGTGTATGATGGAATATTACTACTCTGCCATGGGTTTTTACAACTTTGTTGACACTAGGTAAAATGTAGGCTAATGCCTGTCATAAACTTTTATTTTTTTTGCGGGATGATAGTAGCAGACAATGTCGGAATAGGCCGGAAAGAAAAGCTGCAAATTAACTAGGCCTAACCAAATAACCTTGATGATTTCAACATGGATTTACTGTATAGCCACATCTTCAAACATCTAAAGGCCGGTCTGTGAATATTTATCACACTTTGATTGAGAACAGGGTATTCAAATAACGAAAATTATAGCAGTTTTCACTAATATGCCTTCCAAATTAATTAAGACTTTATACAGGTTTAGGCCATCTAGAATATCTGTCACGCCCTGGCTCTGGGACTCTTATATGTTGAGCCAGGGTGTGTAGATTCTATGTGTTTGTGTTCTGTGTTTAGGATCTAGTTCATGTGTATCTATGTTGGCCGGGGTGGTTCTCAATCAGAGGCAACGAGAATCAGCTGTTGCTTGTTGTCTCTGATTGGGAACCATACTTAGGCAGCCTGTTTGGCACAGTGTATTGTGGGATCTTGTTCCGTGTTTGTTACCAAGGACTTCATGTATCGTTTTGTTGTTTTTGTTCGTGTGGTGAATAAAATAAAGTATGTTCGCATTCCACGCTGCGCATTGGTCTACTCCTTTTGACGATCGTGACAATATCGCTAACCCTTTTCCTAACCTTAACCTAATTATCCTGACCTGCTACGTTAACTCTCTTAACCTGCTGCGTAAATTCTCAGAACCTGCTACGAAAAAGTCCCTTTCGTTTTGAGCTGTATCAAAGTGGTGTGTTTTTAGGTTGTCCTGGCCGGGTAAGTTTGCATTTGTGTGTAATGCTCTCTGGTGGTGGCTTTTGGTAGCCTTTGTGGGTTAAGCCAAATTCTACAGAACAACAACAACAGTATAATGGGTTGTGGGTAAAGGTATTTATAAGATCTATATAGGCCTACTAAATTTAGTCTCTCTCTCTCTCTCACCCATACACACTCCTATCAATCTACTGTATCTTTATGATACAGATAACACAGCATATCAGGTTTGAAAGTACTTTAAGTTTTCCCACATGTTGTACAGCAATAACAAACCAAGCAACCAGCCAATAAACAAACAAACATGGACTCTACAAGGTGTCGAAAAAGCATTCCACAGGGATGCTGGCCCATGTTGACTCCAATGCTTGTGTCAAGTTGGCTGGATGTTCTTTGGATGGTGGACCATTTTTGATACACACAGGAAACTGTTGAGCGTGAAAACCCAGCAGTGTTGCAGTTCTTGACAACTCAAACCAGTGCGCCTGGCACCTACTACCATACCCCTTTCAAAGACACTTAAAACTTGCCCATTTACCCTCTGAATGGCACACACACAATCCATGTCTCAAGGCTTAAACATCCTTCTTTAAATCGGTCTACTCCCCTTCATCTACACTGATTGAATTGGATTTAACTGGTGACATCAAAAAGGGATCATAGCTTTCCCCTGGATTCACCTGGTCAGTCTATGTAATGGAAAGACCAGGTGTTCCTAATGTTTTGAACACTCAGTATATATCAGATCAACATTCAGTTTTGGTTGAATTCATATAAATCAACCCCTGAAACCATTGGGTGACAGGGTCACTTGCGTCAATAGCTGATTTTTGGTTAAAACACTTGAGTATTACAGCATGTTGCAGAGGTATAATTTATTTAGAATCAGGTTTAGGACCTTGTTTGTGCCATCATAAATCCAAGTGTACTTCAGTTCAAGCCTACATGCCACACAAATAATTGGTGACTGATTTGTGATGAATAACGATTGAAGTTTATAACCACGCAACCAACCAACTCCCATTCAATGGAAAATGCTTGATCAAGAATATTCCCTTTACAGTTTTGCGCTTACATGTTTTTCTACTATATATATATATATATATATATATATATATATATATATATATATATATATATATATATGCATATTTGATATAGTATTAAATAGTAAAGAGATGGTATTAATAACTATTTTGACTTCTCTAATAACAAATAGCCAACTGTGTTATTTGCAAAACACAACTCATCTGCTGAGGCTCTTGCTGATGCTCTTGACCAAAAGATACATAACGGCGGAGTGGCGGAGTGGTGCCAGGAAAATAACCTCTACCTCAACAAAACGAAGGAGCTGAGCAGGAGAGAGAGTCAAAACCTGACATTGTCCCTTCACACAGACAGTGTGGTGAAGAAAGCGCAACAGCGCCTCTTCAACCTCAGGAGGCTGAAGAAATTCAGCTTGCCCCCTAAGACCTTCACAAACTTCTACAGATGCACCATTGAGAACATCCTGTCGGGCTGCATCACCGCCTGGTGCGGTCAGCCCAACGCATCACCGGGGGCACACTGCCTGCCCTCCAGGACATACAGCATCCGGTGTCATAGGAAGGCCAAGAAGATCATCAAAGAACTCAGCCACCCGAGCCACGGCCTGTTCACCCGCTACCATCTAGAAGGAGGAGACAGTATAGGTGCATCAAAGCTGGGAACGAAGACTGATGAACAGCTTCTATCTCCAGACCATCAGACTGTTAAATAGTAACCACTAGCCGGCCTCCTCCCAGTACCCTGCCCTGAACCTTAGCCACTGTTACTAGCCAGCTACCACCCTGTACACTACACCTTAGAGACTGCTTTGCCCAATGTACCACTTTAATAATGTTTACATCAGTGGAGGCTGCTGAGGGGAGGCTGTGTGCTTAGGGTCGGTGTCCTGTTGGAAGGTGAACCTTTGCTCGAGTCTGAGGTCCTGAGCGCTCTGGAGCAGGTTTTCATCAAGGATCTCTCTGTACTTTGCTCTATTCATATTTCCCTCAATCCTGACTGGTCTCCCAGTCCCTGCCACTGAAAAACATCCCCACAGCATGATGCTGCCACCACCATCCTTCACCGTAGGAATGGTGCCAGGTTTCCTTCAGACGTGACGCTTGGCATTCAGGCCAAAGAGTTCAATCTTGGTTTCATCAGACCAGATAATCTTGTTTCTCATGATCTGAAAGTCCTTTAGGTGCCTTTTGGCAAACTCCAAGCGGGCTGTCATGTGCCTTTTACTGAGGAGTGGCTTCCGTCTGGCCACTTTACCATGAAGGCCTGATTGGTGGAGTGCTGCAGAGATGGTTCTCCTTCTGGAAGGTTCTCCCATCTCCACAGAGGAACTCTGGAGCTCTGTCAGAGTGACCATCGGGTTCTTGGTCACCTCCTGACCAAGGCCCTTCTCCCCCGATTGCTCAGTTTGGCCGGGCGGCCAGCTCTAGGAAGAGTCTTGGTGGTTCCAAACTTTTCCAATTTAAGAATGGAGGCCACTGTGTTCTTGGGGACCTTCATTGCTGCAGAAATGTTTTGATACCCTTCTTCAGATCTGTGCCTCGAGACAATCCTGTCTCTGAACACTACGGACAATTCCTTCTACCTCATGGCTTGGTTTTTGCTCTGACATGCACTGTCAAGTGTGGGACCTTCTATAGACAGGTGTGTGCCTTTCCAAATCATGTCCAATCAATTGAATTTACCACAGGTGGACTCCAATCAAGTTGTAGAAACATCAAGGATGACAAATGGAAACAGGATGCACCTGAGCTCAATTTCGAGTCTCATAGCAAAGGGTCTGAATACCTATGTAAATAAGGTATGTTTGCGAACATTTCTAAAAACCTGTTTTCGCTTGGTCATTATGGGGTATTATGTGTAGATTGATGAGGAAAAACAAATAATTAATCAATTTTAGAATAAGGCTGTAACTTAACAAAATGTGGGGAAAGGGTCTGAATAATTTCCGAATGCGCCGTGTAGCTACAGTATATACTGTATATATATTTATATATATAATCCGGACTCTGACATTGCTCGTTCTGATATTTCTAAATTTCTTTCTTTTTACTTTTTGAATTATGTGCGTAGTGTATTGTATTGCTAGATATTATTACGGCACTGTTGGAGCTTGAAACACAAGCATTTTGCTGCACCAGCGATCACATCTGCAATCTAAACAATACACTTTGATTTGATGTAGGCCTCCATGTGTGCCCTGGCTTCAAAAGTAACTTCAACATTTAATGCTTGGCCATATCAGTAACTGCAACATTTACCTCTACATCTTTTATTTTTTGACGGGGATCATATACAACAAACATTGCATTAAATTTGTCTCATCTGCAGTCCCATGACATCATACAGTGGCTATGACAGTAACTAATGTTGACATCATGATGGCATAGAGAGATGCCCATTGTGTCAGGGTTGAGTGTAGAGGGAACGTGGAATCACACGCAGGACACAGAGATTCAAAAACCAGATGTCTTTAGTGAAGTCCGACAGTACAAGCCAACACGGCAACAGGCCACAGGCGAAACATACGCACACTGGAATGTCCAAAGTAAATGCGCACAACGTGCAGGACTCTCTTACAGAAACGAAATACAGAGAGCACAGAACAGCGGACCAACAACAACACGTGACATCGAACAATTACACACAACACCTGACCAAACACAAGAGAACTAAATAGGGTGCCTAATGAACACTTAACAATGAACAGGTGTAACAAACAGACAAAACCAATCTAACATGAAACATCGAAACGGTGGCAGCTAGTACTCCGGAGAAGACCACCGCCGAAGCCTGCCCGAACAAGGAGAAGGAGCCGCCTCGGCCGAAACCGTGACAGTACCCCCCCCCTTGACGCGCGGCTCCAGCCGTGCGCCGGCCTCGGGGACGACCAGGAGGACGCGGAGCAGGGCGCGTAGGATGACCACGATGGAACTCGGTCAGAAGAGACGGGTCTAGGATGT